GAGCCAACATGAGCCCTTGGGGATTATCCTAAGATAAAGATGATTGCAAAATACCATCCAGAAGTCAGTTAGGAGCAGAGGCCGTGGTGGTAGTGGCAGCTGCAGGAGTTTGTGTGTGTGGAGGACTGGGGGTGTGGTCAGGAAGGAGGAGGGGGCCTCACTGGTGTAGGAACTCTTCTTCTTACAGAGAAACAATGGAAACTGGACGCAGCCAGAAACTCAGGCTCCCTGGAGACTATCTGAGGCCCCTGGAAACCACTGCTTTCACTCCACCTTTACAAGACTAAGAACAGTTTTCAGACTATTCCAAAACCCATGGGACTGTAGAATAAGCACTGAGCTCAATGCAGCCTACACAGCCTGGGTCCAGGGCCTGTGCTCAGATTCATTCCTCCTTCTAGAGTCTCTTCATACTCTTCCTGACCAAAGAAAAACAGGGGATCCAAGGCTGCTGGACCTGTCAGTTTGCACATCACCATGTACATCATATCTCCTGGAGAGCTCAGAGTTGATTTTCTTTGCAGTAGGTGATGGTTAGTACAGAGACCCACAGTTGGTCCATGTGCAGCAGCACACAAGAGAAGGTGGAGCCCTCAGGTCTAATGGGACATCTCTGTCAGACCCCTTGCTCACAGGCATAGGGACAATGAGGATGACTGGTGGAAGATTCTTAAAGCCATGGGAACTTGTTATCTGTACTGAAATATTATTTGCTAGACCTGAAATATTATTATTTGCTAGACCCTCTCAAATCAGCGTGCTGGGAGACATCATAGAGACTCACAAGCAAACTAGCATGTACCTGCAGTAGGCAAGGTCCCTGGAGCACTCACATTCCCAGAGACTGAAAATAGACTATGGATTGCAATGGCAGGAGAGCATGGTATTTGGACAACACCATGCAGTAAGTTTGGGGCTGTACACCTAGGCCATAGCTCTCCATATCACTAAGATGGACTTTGTTTATTTGGACCTGCAGCTTCACATATGCAAAGAAGAAGCACAATTTCTCTATGCACTGACAGACCGTTCCAGAACATTGCTAGGGACTCAATCTTGTTTACAAATTAGAGCTGCTATGAAGCAAAGGTCCAAAAACTTGAGTACTGAGGGTTCTCCAAGGCAGGTGACAAAATACAATGAGAAGACACATTAGTCAAGATCTCTGAGCAGGTGAGAATGAGATCAAATGTTCCCTGAGCTGGAATGGAAAAAATGAGACAGAATCCTCCCTCTGTCCTGGATGGATGGATGCTCCTCTCTCTCTCAAGCATCAGGACTCTGGCCAGTGTGGCTGAAAGTGCCCTGGATGTCCACAGAGAGGGTGCAAACCACACATCATGTACCCCTTCCTTCCACTTTCAAAGTTTCCAGCTGGGTCTATGGCGAGACTTACTGGAGTGTGGGTGTGAACAGCCATGACTAGAAACACAGTGTCCTGTACTAGGGACTTGCCCCACCTGACATTACAAATAATTGTTCCACATAGATGGGGTGAGTTGACAAGGCCATGATAAGGGGGCGGAGAGTCATGTGGGGTCAGCATGAAGCAGCATAGCATCTGGAAATCTTCCTCACTTGTCACGGCACAGTGACTACAGCTTGCCAGGGTCATCTCCTGCCATAAGTTCCATTTCTTGGATAGGCTACTATGGTTCAAATACTTACACCCACATTTTTGTAACCTGAAAACAATGGAACCAACATGCTTAGAATCCACCTCTTTATTGCTGAGATAATTGCAGGGAAGGAAAGGATGTCATGGCCAGCATGTGTGGCCGAGACACTGGGGGCAGGGCCAGGTTCCAGGTCATCTGGCTCACAACAGAGGTGGCACTCATGCGCTGCTCCAAAATCTTCAGGGATCGTTGTTCTGGGGACCAGGTGGTGCATCAAACAGCATCAATAGTCTAGTGCTTCTTGAAACTGGCTCTCCTGGTCCTAAACCAATCCTTCAAGCAGAAGAAAGGGTTGCTTTAGTACACTGAACTGTACCACTACTGAAGAACACATCCTGTAACCTTGTATACTGGCTCAATTTTACTAACATTTTAGAACATATATGGATTCCATCCCTGGGCCAGTGTGTGCTAGGTATGTGCTCCAGGACAGAGCTACTCCCCTAGAAAAGCACCACGTTTCTGATTGCCCAGAACTGTTTATTTATCGAACTAACCCCAAGAATGATTGAGACATACCTCAAGTGTGTACTGATTGTTCAGAATGCTGGAGGCAACAGGTTTCATTCTCATTGAAACATTCAAAACACCCCCATGAAGCCCCCGGGTACATGTACCACCACACCCAGTCCTTCAGCTATGGGACAGACCTAGAATATTGCCCCTTCTCTCCATCAATTGATAATTTTAATGCATTCTTTCAGGAAAGGATGCAGATCCAGCTTGTGAGTTGTTCCTGGTCCCTGCTGTGTGTTGAAATGTATCAAAAAGAGTTCTCTTAGAACTCGGGAGAACTATCTCAAGGCTCAAAGCTGTCTGTGAAAGGCTCCATGGTGTTAGCCTTTTGTGAGTATCCAGAATGCACATTTTATGAGACAAAGGGCACTTCTTCCTGCTCTATGCTTCCTCCCTAGCCTCCATGCATACTATCTATAGTCCTTTTACCTTGTGGGCATGTGGTCTGGAAAAGCCAGGGCTGATTGTAATGCTGAGCAGAGTTCACATACATAACTAACAAAAGACAGGTAAAAGGTCTATAGACCGTTTGAGCTTCCTGGTCCCAGTATTGGTTCAGAACTAAGACAGGCATGTGACATTTACAGACTAGAACAAGAAGTCTGAGAAAAGTTTTTCTGAGACCCGCAGAGTGAATGAGTTGAAAGTGGGCAATAACATGGTCTCTTCACTTAAGTGAGGCATGCAGCTGCACAGCCTTCAGAAGGTCATGGAGAACACGCTATGTCCTCCAAGGGACAGACAAAGCACCTTGGCATTTTATGTTTTCAGGTGTCCAGGTTTGCATTTCCTGCCTGAGAAAATGGAGGTCATTCATCATCTTGAGCCTAGCCCGGCTGTGGACTTGTCTGGCATCCTTGGGATACAACTTCAGGGTTCCAAATTGCTACACCTCTAGACAACAACATCACAAGATGTGGAGCCCTCCCAAACTATTATTATTTTTAAAATACTGACCAGTATATCTGCTTCCGGCACACCCATCCATCTTGCAAGATCCTTCCTGAAGGTAAAAGATTCCAACATTTAGGTTTTGTGGTAGAACTGTCCTGTTTATAAGGACACGTCCTGTTTGCTTTTAAATGTTTGTGTCCACACTTGAGACACACACACACACACACACACACACACACACACACACACACACACACACTATTCCTCACACCTACTTTGAGACTTACTTTAGTAACAGGTTTCTTTCAGGGATCAAATTAAGGGTAATCCCCCAAACACAGGTATGTCCTCAATGTCCTTAACATGTAAAGCTTCATTAAGAGAGTCTCCACGATGAAAAGTGTTAGCCAAATTTTAATCTGAGGTGGAATCTCTCCTGCATTTTTCCAGCCACACCTCAGGCTTCTCACTCATTCTTACAGAGACTCATTCAGAACAAGCACTGTCTAAATTTCCCACTCAGGTGCCACTTAAACAGGCAACAAAACACAATCTTTCTAGATGGACTAGGGCACATCTTCCTACTACAGAATCCAATTTCTGCTGGAGGGTCCAGACACTGTGGCTTTGTTTCTAGAGGAAATCAGTGGTTCAGGGAGCACCAAAGGGCAGCCTGGACACACTGCCTGAAAACCAGGTGCCTAGCAGGGTATTCTGCTTACCTTACTTGGAAGCTGGGGTAGCGAGTCTCTTCAAAAAGACGCTCCAGGTCCTGCAGCTGAGACCTGGTGAATCTGGTGCGTCTCTGGAAAGGCAGCCTGTCCCCAGCCTGGAGACTCTTGGTGCCCTCAGGCATTGCCGCCTCTTGCTGAGGCTGCTGTTGAACACCACTACCATGACCACCTTCTGCAGGGATCCCCTTGTCCATGGGGCCAGAACTACCATCATCCGCATGTGCTCCTTCAATTTCTTCTTGTTTCTTTTCTCCCTCCTCGACCACTCCTGTGGCTTCCTGAGTAAGACCAGACTGAGCAAGCTCTTCTTGAGCAGGCTTGCTTGGGGCAAGTTCTCCCAGAGCACGTTCGCCCTGAGCAAGCTCACCCTGAGCAAGCTCGCTCTGTACAAGCCCTTTCTTTCCTCCTTCCTCTCCAGCCTTCAGGACCATTGCATTCCCACCTACAAGTGAGAAAAACACAAAAATAAAGATCTGAGCTACATGGCCCATGGATCATTGGAAAACCTAGAGAAGGACCACTGGCAGAGGGGGTAACTGAAGCACCTGGCCACTGGCCTTTCTACCAGATTTGCTTCCCGGACTTCACCCAAGTCCAGTCAGAACCATTTTTACTGACCATGCTGTTGTTCCTGTTGCTCATCAGCTCCTGGACTCAGCATTCTGTTGAATCTGTGGCAGTAACCCTGACGAGTCTCTGTACCGGGAATCTTTCGATCAGACCCGAGTTCTGAAGCTTTAAAAGCCACGTCCTCGCTGTCTGGTGCCAGATGTGTACAGCTCTGCCTCTTGACCCAGAAGGCTTGTCTTCTGGAGACTCAACGTAATTACAATGTGTCCAATCACATTCTGGCCTGCACAGCCTCTGTGGCTGTGGGCTTGTCCTCTGAGGTGTCTAGCCTGAAGCACTTTAGGGCTGCAAAGGAGAGGGAGTACTTTAAAAAATGCAGAGAGTGTGTGTGGTGGGGGTGTGGAACCTGTCTCTGGTTTTCTCCTTAGCTGACACCTCTAGTTTTGGGTAAGGCTCGAATGTTCAAATTCAATCACAGGGAGTAACACAAAGACCTTCTCAAACTCAGCTGGCCCTTGAGCCCAGATAAATCATTTTATTAAATTATGGAAAAGTCCTTCAAACAAAATGCCCCAATCTTGGATGTGCTGTCTTGAAGAGCCCAGTATGATGGCAAATATGTGGGTAGGCCAGGGCAAGATCCTCCTGAGAGACTGTTCTCCCAACAGAGCTGAATTTCGCTGGTATTCACAAGCTCATTCTGATGGTGGAGACCTTGCTCTACATAGCTGTGCTTGACCAAGTTCCTAGGGTGACCCAGATACCGGAGGACATCAAAGATCGACCCTAGGTACTGGCTCCAAACCTGTCTCACAGCTGTGAAGGTGAAAGACAGGAGGAGTAAGCAATTCTGGATGCAAGCTCTACAAAGAATAATTGCAGGAAAGGACAGAACTGAGGAAAATTTAGAGAGACTCCCCAGAGTAGGTGACATTCCCAAAATTTAAAAGACCTCTGAGATCTGTCATTTCGTGGTTTTTGTTTTTAATAGGATCATGGCAGAGTCTGGACAATGGCTGAGGTAATTGTTAGAAGATGGGTTAGTTCTCTGTGTTAGCATAGGCTGAGATACTGGAGGGCCACGGTCCACATGGTCTAGCCCACACCAAGGAGATGATCATGCTCTGTTCACCTATTTCCCACCTAGTCAGTGGTGGCTCAACCCCCTCCCACCACAGGCCCCTTTGTCCATCCCTGACTAGGGCTTTTTGAGTTGTGGGACTTGACTGTCTGGTCACCATTAGACACTGCATCATCTTGTCCTCTGACATTTCAGCTGTCCCAGGTGCTTTTAATTATCCTCAGCTATCTTTCTTCTCAGTCACCAAGAAACAGCTGCAACTGTCCTTCCTCTTCTCCTGATCTCCTGGGTCGTTGTGAAAGGCTTCCCTGAAACACTGAAATGGGAGGCTTTCTTAGACACAGACTTTACTCACACTCACAATTAACTGCTGGAGAATCCAGGCTATATAAGGAGATAATAGTAACATGTGTGCTTTCCTAAAGGAATTGGTTGGCCTGGTTGGACTGCCCACACTATTCGGGAGCCCTGTCTTTATCAGTATGAGACAGCTTGACTGTCATACTGATCACAGAAACTCTTTGTGTCTCATCTTTAGTGTTCCTGGTTTGGCTGTTTCAAACCAACCCTCCTTTTAGCCCTAGCATCCCTGCAATATGTGCGAGCAACTTGCAAATTTGAATGTGAGTGATTTTTCCTCAAAAAGGACAAATACCTAGCTCCTGCATCCATACCAAACCTGGATTCTGAGATAAATTTCCCAAGATGCTTTTCCCAGGGTTGGTGTGAAGCAGGTAAGCAATCATGCATTCAGGGTGCCCCAGAGACTGTTCATTTCCTCCCTTTTCTACAGAGCTCATAGGACACAGGGTGTATTCTTTTATTTCTGGCAGTTTGCTCCCAGGACTCAGCAGAAAGTGTTACAGAGGGATATCCCTCTCTGATGGGTGATTCAGCACCCTAAAAGAGGGATGCTTGATGTGTAACCCAGAGGAACTGTGGGGTGCACTATGTGAGTAGCTAACACAGGTAAACACCAAGGTCTGCTATGCTCCAATCTGTTATCTGTGTGAGTCTGGAAACCAGCACCCATCTCTGCCTTTACCCTTGGTCCTCCTGACTCTGCTGTCCCCATCTTGAACCTGGAGAAGGGACTCTACTCTGCCAACTCCTTAGGATGTCTGTGTTCACCTGCTGCTATCTAGTAGCCCAATCCTACATATCCCTGCAATGATAGGAAACCTGTACCCATAAGCAGCTCAGCTTTTGCTATTGAAAGCAGTGATTCATGGTTACTGCTCTGTGTGATTTTCTTATAAGTTATCTTCTGTGAGGGACTCTCCAGGATTGAAATGCATTAATGAAATCTTGTTGCTCATTCTTGTTTAGTTACATGCTTAATGCCGTAGGTCAGTGATTCTCAATATTCCTAATGCTTTGGCCCTTTAATATAGTTGCTCATGCTATAGTGACCCCAATCATTTTTATTGTTGCTTCCTAATTGTAATTTTGCTACTGTTATGAGTCATAATACAATATCTTTGTTTTCCAATGGTCTTAGTAAAGTTTTGTAGACCCCAAAAGTAAAAGGGGCTACAACCCACAATTTGAGACCCACTGCTTTAGGTTAAGGCATGTGATTGTGGAGTTTCTACACCATTTCCCCATGGGACTCTGCTCAACATAGTTATTAGATGGGAAACCTACCTGCACACAGATTTTCCTGAGGAATGACTTGATCATCATGCACTCGTCCACACACAGGTGCATTCACAGTCACAACATTCACATGCAGAAACATCTGTAGCCAAATCCCTCCCATCCCATTGATCCACCCCCTAGAGAGAGACTAATCTGCAGAATGTAAGAGTAGTTCCAGAAATATGGAAATTAAAAAAAGGAAAAAGGTTCAAAACGTTTCATAAAGAAACAGAATTCTAAGTCTGTTTTATTGATGAGCACAAGTTTAAAAAAAAAATCTTGGATTACTGCTTAACTGAAACCCAAGACAATATTAAGTTTACCTTAAAGAGTGTTGAGATAATTCAAATGAGCAATTTTAGAAGCAATTTATTAACTCTAAGAAGAAACATAATTGTCGTATCAGGATTTATACCTAGTGCCTGTGCGGCTTTTTGGAACTCATTACCTATGATGGGACACCTTGCACAGCCTTGGTACAAAGGGGAGGGGCTTGGACCTTCCTCAACTGAAAGTACCAGGCTCTGCTGACACCCCATGGGAGCCTTACCTTTTTGGAGGTGGGGATAGGGAGGTAGGTTTGCGGGGAGAATACTGGGGGAAGCGTGAGGAGAGATGAGACGGGGATCTGTGGTTGGTGTGTAAAATGAACAAAATTTCTTAAAGAAAAAAATAAGAAACATAATTGACAGAATGAATTCTTTGATGAACTTTTATCTGTGTATGACATCACATACAGAAAGAATAATAAATGGGGAAGCTTTCCTAGATTTGAGTCATCTTCTACACACCCGTCGTCAGCATTGTTAGGGACACCTGAAAATCGGTGAGCCAGCTGTGCCCAGGTTGGCTCTCCCACGAGGCCTTTGTGGCTCAGAAGACAAGATACACTGAGCCCTGCACTGCCCACTTAGTCACAGCTCACTATGTTCTTTCTCTGCTCAGCACTCCATGGCCTGAGCGTTCAAGTCATCAAGTGATAATCATGTCTTTGTCAGGAAAGTCAGAGGCTGCCACCTAGCTCATCTGAACTGATTCTCTCTCTCTCTCTCTCTCTCTCTCTCTCTCTCTCTCTCTCTCTCTCTCTCCATCGCTGCCTCTCTCTTTTTTGTTTGTATACTGGTGTCTTCTATGGACATAATGAAGAGTGAGCCCCTCTCTGAACCAGGAAAGAAGTGGACAGGTCAGGGATCCTCTCCTTCAGTCTTTCAACCAGCCACATGACTTTGGAGTGTTCTTACTTAACCCCTCTGGTATGCTGTATCTCAGCAACAGGTCCTGGATCATTCTTGCTGTATCCAGGCCATAGGTCCTATCCCTGGTTACAGGACTCACCCTACAAGGACTCAGTAAGGACTCTTCCTGCTGTTTGTAAGAGACACATGGTCGAGAGAGACAAGGGTTGATATAGAGGGAGGCCAGGACTGGGAGCAGGGTGGGAAGACATCTTGAAGGATAGTATTCTGAGGAAGGAGAGGGTGCAGTGGCTGAAGTGAGCTCCAGGTAAGGGTAGCTCTGAAAGAGATGGTAGAGTTATGGCCAGTAGATGGTCTGGAGACAAACTGGGCCAATTTTCCAGTGGAAAGGAGTCAAGGTTGGGGAGAAAAATGTACCAATTATGAGCCTCACCAGGCAGTGGTGGCACATGCCTTTAATCCCAGCACTGGAGAAGCAGAACAAGGCAGCTCTCTGTGAGGTCGAGACCAGTCTGGTCTACAGAGGGAGATCCAGGACAGGCACCAAAAGTACACAGAGAAACCCTGTCTCAAAAATCCAAAAAAATTAATAATAATTATGATCCCCAAGAAGGAGGTTGGAGCTGGGCTACCCAGCAGTGCCCAGGAGAGAGGCCACTGAGAAGTCAGAAGACTGTGCAGCAGGATGAGAGATGCTGTGAGCATGACTGACTGTGCATCAGTACAGAAGTGAGGCAGGCTGCAGGACAGTGGTGAGGATTTCTCATGAAGTCAGCCTGGCCAACCAGGGTCCAATGTACAGAAGGAACTCTGGGCCCGTATAAAATCTCCAGGACCCTAAATGTGCCTTTGGGGGGCTCAAAGACCAGTAAAAATGGTTCTGCTGTGTAGACAGTTGACCACATAAACTCCCCTGGTGCTCTCTGGGAGGGGCCTGTTCTTC